ATTCTTCATATATTGAGTTTACTATTTGGCATATCCAGAAACCTAAAACCTACAACCAAATCCAATAAATATAGACCAAACCCTATCGACTAACCATCCTAAAACAAAACTTCTTAGCATGATTCACAAGAGCTGTAGGTTCAAGAGAGATCAAATGTCGTGAAAAACTACATATATTAATTTTCCATGAAAGAATATATTACATAAGCACTCACCTTATCTAACTCTCTTTGTTACCGTATGTAAATGGCGACGTCCTCGATACAGGTGAAATCGAAGTCGTGCATTTTTCTTGGAAAAGAAAAAAAAGAGGTTTATGTTATGAGACATGATCGTGTTTTAGTATTATATGGGTATTTCCTTTATTAGTCTTTAGTTAAACTAACTTCATGTGTATCTAGGCTTTGCAGGTTTTTGTAGCATTAGAGATGTTCCTCTCATGGGTGATTTACGACAAGATATCAAGTGATTAACTTAAGACGACATTCCGTATTGGTAATTTCTTGCATAGATTGTGACAATTATATTTTTTGACCCACTATATTTCATGAAATAATATCTTAACTTATTTTTAAAATAATATTTCATTTATATAGAAAAAAATTATCTTGCATAATTCTACTCATAACTTATTAAAAAGCACAATTAAAGATTAGAAAATTTAACTACACTAAAATATAAAACATTTAAACATAATTCCGCACCATAATATTATTATGAAAGTATAATGAGATATGTAAAATAGTTATAATCTCTTTTATAGACATCAAACTGAAAACACTATAGCTTCTATGTATATGTTTTTTTAATGAAAACACTATAGCTTCTATGTACAGCAAAGTATAAAATAAAAAACATAGTTTTTCTTATCTAATATAAATGTAGAACGTAATATAAAAAAACGTACATAAGATCAGAATATTAATTCAAAAGCAACATATTATATGATAATGTTTGCAAATACATGTCACGTCTATGTATTTAGTTATGATTTTTGCTAACATTTAATCCCCTTGGCACATATATGCAAATGTTTGCAAATACAAAAATTACATACGTCGATATGTTCAAATAATGTGCTATATATCTCTAAAAGCACCTTTATGTTTTTTAATGAAAACAATATAATTTTAATTATGTACAGAAAATAATACATTCACGTAACATATCGTTTGTCTTCTAATAGAAACGTTTTAAGAAATCCTAATATTAATTCACACATTATACGCATCTAAAGTCTACATGAGATCATAATATTAATTCAAATCCTCAATTGATCATCTAACTTTAAAATTTTTTGGAAAGAAATAACTAATCATTTAAATTAAGGACCAAGACTTTGTTATTGCATACATCTAACAATATTAAAAGGAGGATATGAAGGCCTCTTAATACATCCACGTCAGCTAAAAAAATCGAGCAGTAATATTGCAACAATCATTCATGTCATCTTGGAAAATGTGGGCGAATTTCGCCACGTGTCATCCCTTCCATCTGAAGTTGCTTTCTCGGTGATTGTCGTGTACTGGACTAATTATTTGCAATTGTTTTATTTTATAGGCTCTAATGTTATTGTGTATTTAGGCCCAAACATAGTTAGGTTTTTCCTTTATTTCGATGTTTAAGCTCCATCGAAGAATCATGTGTGCCTTTTCAGATCGATATCTCCGTTTCCAAGTCTACAAATCTGTGACGGCTTTACTTATCATTCATCTGATACATTAATCTTACCATTAACAGACGTTCGCACTACTCCTCCACGCTCTCCCATAAATTCAAGGTAACCGATTGAAGCTCCAACTATAAATGTTTTCCTTGACAATCGTTGCATCCCCACTTTTTCATTAAATATGTATTCCGTTTTCATGTAACGTGAATTTTTGTGTGTGTTGTTGTAGATTCAGTGCTCCGGATGATTCCATCAGAGACAGATCATAAAGGGTATCCCTTGTTAATTTTCCAAAAGTTTTAGCCCTCGCCACTGTAAAGTCGACGATCATCGAGGTCTGTTTTTTTTTCATTACCAAGTTCTTTCCGGGTGAAATGTTGGAATGCTATTAATGAGACAAACTTCATTCTGTCATACTCTTACTCATTCTCATATACTCTTCTATATTCTGATACTCTCCATATGGGTGGTTAATGTCGAAAGTGCCCCTCCCTACTTGACCGAATTAGTGACCAAATAAAATCGGTCAAAATCGAGAATCCTCTGAATTATTTTTATTTCCAAATCGGGAGTGATCTGTTTTTTTCTCTCTCATCCGTGAAATTCGTTTCTTTCTTCTTGTTCGTCGTTATCATCGCTTAGTTCGGTTGAATTCGTCCGCTTGGATGCTGAATCATTGAGCTATTGATACTGTTGACAGGGTATGTATCTTAAATCGTTCCTAACTCATCATAACCCAATGTTTAGAATTCACCATACACGATCGATTTACAGAGATTCCAAATTACAATTCTAATTGGACTAGAGTAATTGATGATAGGAATGTGTGAATGGTCTATCTATTATGAATTGGATAATTAACAACTGTAATCATAAGAAAAAGAAAAGATAGAACGTCAGGAATCCAAGCTGATAACTATTGAAACGAATTGAAGAGGACGAATAGCTAGAACTAGAAAAGTTGGAAAAGTTGGGAAAGTATGGAAAATTTGAGAAAGTTGGAAAAAGTTGGTTACTGACAAACTGTGTAACAAGGTATAACTTCGTATAACTAACATGCTATAACTGTATAACCATGAATAAATCAGGTATAACTTAGTGGTTAAATTTTTATTTAAATGCAGATGAGTCTTTCTTCTACAAACATACACTTTTATTATGATGGACATTATTCCTAGTTTGGAGATAATTATGAATAGATTCCAACCGATGGTCGTTTGTATGGTATATCCTTTAGGACATCATCGTTGGAGGAGATCACTTATTTGTTGTTGAAGGAGAGAATATGCAGGAAGATGAGAATAGACCCGTTTACGAAGAGGCTGAAATTTGGTTACATTCCAGTGGTAGTGGAACCTAAGAGACAATCATATATTTAGGATGATGAAGATGTGTTTGACATCGGTGGATAAAGAACAAAGAAGAAGTATTTTCATGTAGAGGACACTCAAGAATTGGAAATAGCTCAAATAACCGAGCAACTAGTGAGAGTTGAGAATGAAAGCTCATGTAGTAGGAACTATGGTGAGCGTGAGAGTGGATATGGAGAAGAAGATAATTTGGATACTGGTTTGGAACATAAGGAACACAATGAACATCCCCACAAGAAACACAAGAGGACACGTTGAAAGGTGAGATTTGTATTTTGTGTTGTGCAACTAAGTGAAACTTTATCCTTTACTGGTAGAAGTACGATAAGTAGACTGAGTAATAGGATTGTAAATTTTAAACTTGTTACGAAAGTACTAAGATGGTATTTTATGAGTTATTTTAGGTTGTTGATTATAATTTTATCAGAACAAAAAAAAATCTCGTTGGTTATTAGTAATCATGATGTCATTACACTGTCTTCTTATATGTTTTTCGTTAATATCCTTGTCTCGTTTGAAATCTGAATAAGTAATGAAATCGATTTCATGTATACATGGACAAATGAAAAATGAATCTAGTATACAGAACATAACTGGTATAACCATAAAATCAGTCATTGTAATAGAGTAAAACCAAGATAAATGGAAAAAATTATAAATTACAACTGTGATGTTTTCTGTAAAACTGCAAATTTGGTGAAACTTCAGTCACGAAAATACTAGGCTAAAAATTTCCCGCCCACCAGCTTTTCGAATTTCTAATCTCACTCTTCCCCCCCCCCTTCCCAGTCCAATTAGTACTAAAACCCTTACTTTTGTGTTTTCCCACATTCTCGAGATTTCACTTTCTCTCTCTTCCCTTTATCTCTCTTTCTCTCTCTCTCTTTTTCTCTCTCTCTCAACCGAAATCCCCCAATGTCGAACCCAATTACGTCTGCTTCATCTTCCACGACCGGTTGTCGGAGACGACGAGTGAGAACTCCGGGGATACCTAAGAGGTGTTGGTGCAGGGAGAGCATCACCGAGCTCATCTCCAAATCCGGTCCAAATCCATATCGCCAATATTATTGGTGTCTCGACGCGGTAAAAAATAGGTAACGTCCGTTTTGCATTTGTTATCGAAGGGTTGTTCTCTTAAATATTTTGAACAAAATGTTGGAATGTTGTAGCTCAAGAACGACGATCACGTCTTCAAATGGGTCGACAAAGCTTTCACCGATGAGATTGAACAGTTGGAGTACCAAGTTTGAATGGTAGAAGAAGAAGTTCAATTGTTAAAAGCAACAATAAGCAGTGAAGGTCCTAAAATAATGCCTAAGATAATGATATCAGGATGTTGTGTTGTTAGTGTCATCATTGGCGTTGTAGTTTTCAGTCGAATTATGATGTACAAGTGATTCCTAAAGCTAGTGACTTTGTCAAACATTTTGTTTTGTCTAAGATTTTTGTAATTTATGCGAAGTTAAACATTATTTTTGTCTAAGTTTTTCCTAAATTTCTCCTAAATTATGCGAACTTAAACTACTACAAAGTACGGTCAACTGAAAAAGTTTCTCAAATGTTTACGATGTTGGACAATTGAGAAATTGAACCTAACACAAAATTTGACCTGGTTATACGAACACCAACTTTCAAGTTAAGTTGAACTGCTAAGAAGTTTGGTAAACTTAAAAGTTTCTCAAATGTTTCCGATGTTGGACAATTGAGAAATATAACCTAACACAAATTTAACATGGTTATACGAACACATGCTTCATGTTAACTTGAAGTTATTCTTAGGTTCATGCACTTGGACAATTACAAAAGTTAAGAAAACCATTTTTAATACACATTAACGCAGTACAACATCACAAACCAAGTTTCAGAAACACTAATACATTAGATAAAACCTTACAAAGGCCCTATAGCTCCATACTTCCGAACATAAGGGTCACTGTTATTGACCAATTGTCTGAACTCCTCTACCTCCGGCAAGCATGGATTGAACCTGAAGTCAGATAAGCCCCCCTCGGTCTGAAGTCATTCTTCTATAGGACCAGAATAAGCTGTATAAATGAGTTTAGATAAAGTTTTAGTCAACTAACAAATTTAAACCTGAACACATAAGCATAAACTTCACTTACAGAAATAGTCGCGGACCCTCCACATCTTAAGGACCACAATCACCTGTCGACGACCTCCCCTATTTTCAAACCCTTCCCAGAAGGCATAAGCATGTTTCCCAGTTGCCACACATTTTATCTGACTCTCACTATGATGAATAAAACAAGGTGAGTCCATTACACTAATGCAAACATTTTGTTTTGATCATATGTTACTTAATACTTACATGTTGTCCCTTATGTAAAACACCATCTTTGGTCCTTCAGGATCATCGAAATGGGCTTCTGTCTTAAAGATTCCGTATATTCAATTCCATTGTATCTACCAGATAAGTATATTCGATTCCGTTACTTACATATGAAATATATTTATTAGTCAGAATTCATACCTATGGGAAAATTTCTCTCTTTGTAGCTCATGTGAGGGATTTCATGAATGCATTTGAACTCAAAGTAAAGCTGATCATTTAGAGGATCAAAGATGTGGATTTGGGTATCGCCAGTAGCAGTTAGTGTGAATTTGGATTTTGCTGCCTTGAAACCTGAATGGGCACGGCCAACTTCTACAATAAAGATTTCCACCCATTTTTCCTCTTGCTTCTCTAGGCCTCTAAACCTATCTCCATATATATCCTAGATGGTCATCTCCATCTTGGTTCCTTTCATAAATTAAGTTCAACGAGCGAGTTTATATTTTCCATTGTTGTTATTAGAAACTTGAGAGATGATGATTTTGTACTTACATGTTCATCTACTAGGACATAAACATGGGTGGTCCTTTGCCGGTAACATAGGAATAGAAAAGATAGATCCTTATGATTTTCACTCTGAAACGCCAATGCTTGACATTCTCGTTATAGACAACTTCACCAAGAGTATTGTAGTGTTCCATATTTGAAAGATGATGGATTCTTTTTTTGTGGTGAAATATTTTTAAATATAATGGAAACGATTTAACTTAACTTACTTCGGTGGAGTGGATATTAAATTGAGGGTTTCTTAAATTGAATGCAAATGTAATGATGATCTGGTTTAGTTGTGGGATTTAAATGAAGTGTAATGATGATCATAGGCGGCTATTAGTGTGAAAAGTCGTGTCTTTCTTACTGATCTCAACTTGTTGTGTTGGGATAATAAATTTGAAAATTATGGAGGGAAGCCACCGTTTGCCTATCAAATAACTCTTAGATGGAAGAGTTACAACTTGTAGTTGGGGTAATAAATTATTATTACACAAATTAAATTACACTTCATTTATTATCCCCTATTTTTGTTAATGAATAAGATATTTGTTTCTTAAAGGTTTACATAGTTTCATATATTTAGACTATCACAAATTGTTACACTATCTAAATTATTAAACGTTTTCTTAGTTCCATATATTTAGACAATCTAACTAAGCGGTTTCACTTAGTTTTAAAAAGTTATTTATTTTTATCATTTAAAGTTTTACAAAGTGTTAAATCCAACGCATGCGACTGTTACAGTCAGAGGTCGTGCCTTCTCGAGACTTCCATCAAATCACCCTTAACTTCCGTGATAAATACAATCTTATCTCTTCTCCACTGTTGAGGATCATCGCTATTATAAAAGGGTTTATCATTTTTTCCAAATTAAAAAAAAAAGTTAATCTTTCCATTTACGTGATAAAACAAATATCTCTCACCATTTCAAACTCGAACTTGGCTTCTCTCCCTCCTTCCATGCTTCACAAGATTCTCTCTAAGGTAGCAACAAACCATCTTCGGGACTTTGGTAGTGCAAGAGTTTCATTACCCTCATTCAATCAAATTAGCAGAGAAGAATAATTCTACAAATCTGCAGATCTTATTCACTTCAATGACTGGATTGATGAGGTTAATGCTGTCAGAACATACATGCTTAAGTGCTACCAAGCCGGTAATCCACAGGCCATCTACATGCGAGGTATGTATCAATTAAATGGTTACAAATTACTTATGGGTTTAATTTGACACAAGAATACCAAAATTTTTATTGTTTGATCCGCGCAAGTGTTTGTTTTTATATATTTTATGAGTGATAATATATATTTCTATATTTACCCGTTTAAATAATTGTTTAAAACAACATTTTAAACACACAATTTTTAGTTTATATTGAGTAATTTTATTTTATCTTATAAACTATCATTGTGTCATACTTATTTTAAAAATATGACCCGTATATCTGCACAAATGTTTTTATTTTATTTTTATGGATAAAAATTTTATGATAATGTATAAATAAATTGTTGTATCTACTATTTAAAATACATGGTCCTATATATTTCTACTTTTTAACTTTTATTATTCTGAATTTACCTTGAAGTATTATTCATATAAAAATATACATAACATAATATATTTATATTAATCTATGTATTATATATTATATAAATGTTTCTTTTTGTGACTTTTATTTTAGTTATTACTTATAAATAATAAAAATATAATTATATATCTTTGAACACAATATTGTTCATTAACTATTTAAAGATATGTAGATAATTAATAAGAAAAAAATCCTAAAAGGTAGGTTAATTAATATTGGAATTAATTATTATGTATATGGAACTAGTATAACAATTTCTATATAATTTACTTATTTAATTATGAAAGGTATATATGAAAATAATTATTTTCATTAATTATTGTTGCCATATTTGTTTAGTTAATATTTGATTTTTGAAATGCATTAATTAAAGTGAAAAGATAAAAAATATAAGGTAGGGTAATTAATAACTTCAGTGGCATAACATTGTAAATAATTAGAAAAACTTAGGGGCATTTTATAAGTGTACTTCTATTTTAATAAGATAGATTCGCAGATTTTCATATTCATAGAGTGGGTGTTTCTATTTTCATGAATCAGTTTTTCTTACTCTACCTTTACATCTCCTATTTTTATTTTGTTGATTAACAATAGACCACATTCATAACACACCATGTATTCCGGTTAATATATACTCTATCCAAATCGAGGAATCCTTCATATTTGATTCCCTCATTGATTCTTCTTCTAGACAAATTTTATTACATCTTCTCGGAAATGACTTCATCTTCAGCTTTAGATGTTGATGGCTTGACTGGTAGTATTATCATAAGAATTATACTCTTATTATCCAATCAACATTTATGAGAAAACCATTTAGAAATTTTTTTTTTTTTTTTTTTTTTTTTT